CTGTAGCAACTGTTACTTCTGAACCCACTCAAGTAACTTCTGCTCCTGTTTCATCTGAACCACCTACTCAACAACCTAATATTCCTTCTGAACCATCTCATATCCCTGAGACAGAAGTTCTTGATATCACTCCATTAAAAACAATGTTTCAAGTTTCTTCTACCTCTTGTACACCTGAAACATCTTCAAACTCATCTGAATCAGAAATTCATCCTGATTTTCTGATTAATCCATCTGACAAATACCCTGTTCATGACCCTGAACCTGAATCATCTGTACCTACCAAAACTACCATTCTAGAACCTATGCCTCCACCTGAACCTTCATCTGAGATGATTATTCCTACTTCTATTCCATCATCATCTGGAATCTCTTGTGCTCAAGTGTCCTCTCTGTATCATAATTTATATTATGGTTTCAAACTTAAAGATTTTTATGATAGAGTTGAGCCCTCTGAACCCTTGACACCTCTGAGACCTAAACTTAAACCAACCCTTCCATCTGTGATCCTTTCATATATTAAATCTATGGAAAATGAAGGATCCTTAGCCACCATATCTGCTAAATCTGGTAAAGCTGCTGTTTCAGCTCTGCATCCTGCATCTGACAACACAGTTGCATCTGATAAACCATCAAACTCTGCTTTCGTACCATACTCTAATGCAGTCTTTGATGATGTTTACCCACGCACCAGACCTCAACCAAATCTGCTTAATGCTTTAAACAGATCCCTTCCTCAGAAACCAGAAATTCCATTCTTTCCATATGTTCCCCCTCCTCTGATTTCCATTCCAAAATCATTGATACCACCAACTCCAAAGCCTAAACAGATGACTCTGGAAACCTTGCTCAAACCTCCACCCAGACTTAATATTGAACATTTATTTCAAACATTTTTGCAAGAATTACAGATGTCTTTAGGTACTGTTCAGAGAAGATGTTCTGAATCTATGGATGCAAATGAGATTGAAATCATCTGGAAAGGATTTCTGAATAGATTCAACACTGTAGCTTCTAATCTGAAGAACATCTGTTTTGATGATGCAAAGCTCAGATCTGAAAGAAATCAATTCTGGATTGACAACAAGACTGAACCTCTGCTGTGTTTGGATGCTCCTCCACCTCCTCCTCCACCAGAACCAATTGCCCCTACTCTAACTATGACTCTGGTAGAACCCTCTTCAGGATCTCCAGAACATATGGCAATTGACTCTGTTCAGAATACAGAACCTCCATCATCAGAGATCAAGACAGAAAATCCAGATTTGGCAAACAAGATTGCTGCTCTGGAAGCTGGTCAATCTGAAATCAGATCTTGGATGGCGAAGCAAGACAAGAAATCTGAGGACATGTCAGAATGGATGACCAAACAAGATGAGAAAAATGAGACAATCACTAAGTTCATGTCAAAGCAAGAGCAATCACAATCTGAGATCACAGACCTATTGAAAATGCTTTTGTCTAAACACACTTAGATTTTTTTTTCTCATGTCTTTGCATCTGTTGTTTTTGCATCTGAATGTTTTGTTATATCTTCTGATGTACTTTTTGATCTGTTATAATTAATTGAATCAGACTGTTATTCTCCATTGAATTATCTGCTCTTATTCCTTTTAGTTGTCTTTATTAAAAGTTTTTACTTTTTTCTTATGACAAAAAAGGGGGAGAAAATAAAGATCTGAACTATTTAATATAATTTCACTAGAATGAATCTTCAGACATATCTATTCTTTCTAATATTTAAATTGACTATTTCAGAACTTTTGATAAGAACACTCTATAAAAGAACCTCTGAGTTTCTCAGATCATTTATCTTTTATCAAACTCTGAATCTTATATCTGCAAGATATTCTGACCATTGATTATTACAAGACAAACAAGATCTGACTCTGAAGATTACTCAAGATAAAAAGGGAAGTTTCTATTCCTTTTTCATATTTAACTCAGGGGGAGATTCATCATCTCAGGGGGAGTTATATTTCTTTAAGTTCAATTAAATAAAATTTCTGATGCTTTTTGTCATCATCAAAAAGGGGGAGATTGTTAGAACACAGATTGGTTCTTAATAATTACTCTTTGTTTTGATGATAACTGTTAGGAAATTTATATTTAAGAATTATATACTCTAAAATTTGTTTGAGAGTTTTACTGCAGATTAAAATTATATTAACTCTCTAAAAGCAAATCTGCCTTGAATACAAGAAGTTGTTCTGACTCTGAAGCGCCAGATGCATCTTACAGAAGAATCTGCTTGCTCCTTACAGAAGATCCTGAGCGTAGTCTCCAGAAGGATCTGAAGAAAGAAGCTCCAGAACATTCTGAGTCAGAAGCATCTGAAGATAGCTAGAAGCATCTGAAGATAATCAGAAGCATCTGAAGCTGAAGCATCAGAAGTATAGAAGAATATTGATTGAAGAGTTTCTCAAAGCATTGATCTACAGAAGTTTCTGAAAGTACCTACGCTGCCAAGTACTGAAGTTCTGTGTCAAGATGCTCTGATGATCAACACGCTAGAAGCACACACGCTGCAGAAGACTCTGATACAGCATAGTTCTGAATCTCATCAGAAGACTCTGATCTATTCAAACTCTGAAGAACTTGCTGAAACTGAAGAAGTATTTTCAAGAATGTATCCGTTGGATTCATTCAACGTCTCTTTCCTTATTTGTGCTAGACACACTTACACAGACAAAAAGGATTTATCTGTGCCATCTATTTCAAGGAAAGGTCAGTACATGTGAAGACAAAAAGGCTCAGACCTTTTGGACTCTCTTTTCAACGTGCTTGCTTCAACTGCCTATAAAAGGAGTTTCTCACTTCATTCTTCAGTTACACTCTTGAGCTACACACTTGCTGAAAAGAAATCACATATTCTATAAGCTCTCATTCTTATTCTTCATAGAATCTTTGTATTTAAAACTTAAGAGAAAAATCACTGTTGTGATTATAGCTTTATAGAAGCATTAAAAACTCTTGTATTTAATTTACATTGTTTGTAAAGGATTTTCCTTAAGAGGATTCAGTGTGAATCAGTAGCTCTTGAGAAGACTAAGAACTGTAGTTCTTAGGTGATACTATTGTAATCAGTTTGATTTAATAGTGGATTAAGTCCTTGTTGAGAAAGGAAAATCACTCTGGAAGGGTGGACTGGAGTAGTTGTTTAACGAACCAGGATAAAAATAATTGTGTGATTATTTTCAAGTATTAATTTCCAAACTTATTCAACCCCCCCCCCCCCCCCCCCCTTCTAAGTTATATCTCACCTTCAACCATGATAAGAGAAGGAAGGATCTTGGTACAAATCGATTGCAATTGGATTTTTCTCTGAAGAGAGGTATCTATACGACCCACGACAAACCACCTAAACACAAAAAGCTTCAACGTCTAACCCACCGAGAAATTATCAGCCATGTTACTCACAACCCCCTACCAACATAATTACCAACCCACTAACACACAAACTCACCATCCAAACATGTCAAACACCCAACCACAATACCAAGAGTGTCCCCCATACCATCTCCAACAAAATAACTATTATCAAGAAACCCAATATGGCTATGCCCCCAAGGCAACATCAAGATATAGACAAAATAAGGGTACATCATACCATAGCCATAACACCCAAACATCTTTTCATAGCCAAAACGTTCAGACATCATACCCTAGCCTACACACACAAACATCACAACAACCTTATGACTTTCAAACACCAATATCATTTCAACCTTTCACCAACGAAGCCTTCACACCAATGTCCCCCTTCAGTTGTCTAGACCGCACACCAATGACCCCTTCATCACATTCGAACTACTCTGACATTGGTCGCACACTCAGTTTCAACACACAAGACCTCGTGAAAATGCAAGAAATTCTTAGGGAATCAGCTGAGAATGTTCCTGAGACTTCAACTCCTCAAACACCTGGAGTGAATCAACAACGAGGGGGACAAGTGCAACGAGTGATGGTGCTTAGGGGATGTGGAACCGATGACCGGTATGACCAACCCGGTCGCCAACATTAACTATGTAATATTATTTTTAATTAGTTATTAATGTTATTTATTTTTGTTAAAAAAAATTACACAATACACCCTGTCTCCAAATAAATTTGCGACACCATTGTGTGTTTAACACCTTGTCGCCAATTGGATTAACAATACCATATGGTATCTCCAATCTAATTGGCGACACCACTTAAGTCCAATAAACAATTGTCAAATGAGATAGCGTTGACACTCTATCACACCCCTAAAATGGAATACCCTGGAAAATAAATTAAAAAATGAGTTATTTGAGATTATTTTTTTTTTGAAAAAATAGGTCATTTTAGTAAAAAATTCTTGAATCTAGCCTAAGGGATTAGCCTCCCACTACAAAACGACCTATATTGAAAATTAGTTTTATAAAAAAGTTTTTACATTTAGTAATTTATCCTTTTTTTTAAAATTTTAAAAACCATTGAAATTAATAAAAAGAAAACAAAGAGTGTTCAAGGCATACAAACACCAATAACAGCAAATGACAAAACAGACCCTACAAAAACACATAAAACCTAAAAATTTCCAACCAACTCTAACACAATCTACAAAAACACATAAAACCTTTTGTATTTAGTAATCTATCCTTGTTTCAAATCATCCTTCCGACAAAAAGTATAATACAAATCTTGCCTAAGATAAAAGAATCTATTCTTTTCTCATGTTATATTGCAAGAATATATATTCTTTTCAAGTTTTTCGGTTACATAATATTCTGTTTTCTTTAAAAAGCTCTAAATTCGTTTACTTTCTGTGTCATCATATTATATTCGTTATCACAATATATAGAATAATTAAACAAAACATGTGACACCACACATACACAATCCTACAAAGAATCTAATTCAAGTATTTTCTCTACTAAGAATACCACTATATAAATGATGAAATTTTCCACTAATTCAAAGTGCCTCTAAACACACCAAACTCAATAGTTTCTTAAAGCAAAAAAGTTGAAAATATGTTCAAAATATTACTTTTAGGGTTATTTTTCTTGATCTCCATTCTCACTTTCTCAGCTCATGAGATTGCAGCCACATCACAGATTGAAGGTTTAACTACTTCAAAGCAACAAAGGACTCAAAGAACAAGTGTGGGATATTTGCATGCTGTTCAACATACAATGGTGTCAAAGAAATCAAAGACAGTTTATGGGGGAGCCAATAATGTGAAGAGTCATAAGGGAAAAAGTAGTGCAAACACTAATTTGATCAAATCTTCATCCTTGTTCATGGTTGTACTAAGTCATCTCATTCTAGCAATGATTCTGGTTGGTGGTTTCTTTTGAATTTCATTATGTTTCAAGGTAGAGGCTTGCATAATTTGTCAAGAGTGTGCTTTTGAGTTGTCTCATACATAGACATATATATAATGAAATAAGTTATCCTCTTGTTATTATAGTGTTTTTGTTATCGTTTTAAAGTTATTTATTTAAGAAAGTTAAAAGGTTTGTTACTTTTAATAGAATTATTTTTATCATTTTTTATGATAATTTTATTATCTAATAACTTGTTTTATTTATTTATATGCTATAATGAAAATCATTGCAAAGTTTTAAAAAAATCAAGTCTCATATATTGATATTTCGGGTCACTCACCGTTTGTGTCTACGTACTAAACTCAATAATATTGGCCGTGTATTAAGAAAAACTTAAGTTCCACATTAATTAAAGATATAATCTTAGGGTTTATATAGAATGACGCTCTTTATTTTACTAATTGATTTTGTAGGATTGAGTTAAATCAAACTCTAATTCTATCAAAAAGACAAAAACCATAGAAGAGACTCTTTTGACTTAATGTCAAATGACTCAAAATTAAGTCCAAAAATATCATATATTAAAAAAAAATTCTCACATTGTCACCTTTTTTTTTCTCTTTTGTGATTAGTTTATTATTTTTTTAAGATGGGGGACCAGTTAGACACCCAATTGGGATCCCATCTTGAACAGAGGCTTTTTTTTTCCTTTAATTTTTTAATTTTCTTTTAATTGATTTAAAATATTTTTTTAATATATAAATTAATATAAAATTAGTTAATAATATAATATTAATTTACATTTTTTTTCATTTTTATTTAAATATTTAATGATTAATTGTTTCAGAAGAATTAAATTTATAAAATTCCATTGTTTAATAATTAAATTTTATTTTAAAATAATGTTTTTCTGCCAAAACAATTTTTTAATATTTTTTTTCCATATGATCTTCTATAAATAGAGGTGCCTAAGACACATAAAATATATTTTTTCTTGTCTTTGTCTACTTGTTTCACATATTTCATAACCATGTCTGCGTGGTATATTTTTTTTTAAACAGATAAACACACGAGAGTTTGTTTGAATTCACAATGGAAGTTCAGACAATTGATTTTTGGCATCAATGTAAGTTTTCGATAGCTGAGTGATCCAATTTGATGTGTTAGAAAAATTGAATATTATTGTCCATACATAACTCTGACGGATGCTAGCCCAGATGGTACCTACCTTTATTATTGAGATCGTGTAAAAAATGATTTGGATGTCCAATGTATGTTTTCTGCATATAATGGAGAAGTTAGTCAGGGCGCTGAAGATCCACTAGTCTTAGTTGTTATCGTTTAATATGTTAACATGATTAATGGTATTGTAGTGTTTATTTGTTGTAACGTTATCAGAAATTAGTGTTTTGTTGTATTAGTCACTGTGTTTTATATTTATTTTGAAATCATTGTTATGTTGTCAGTGTTTATGTGTTGTGGATGGAAATTTATAGCTCTAAATAAAAGTTATTGTTGTTGTTGGAAAACAAAATACACAATATTCTTACATATAACGACGATTCAAAAAAATAAACTTCTCACACAACTAAGTAGAAGGTTTAACCTTGATTGGATATTTTCTGCGCATATGGCCGATTTCGTGACAAATGTCACACCTCCTTTTTTCTTTTTCAATGTTGTCCATTTCAGTTCTAATCCACCTATTGTTTGGACGACTTTTCTTTTTTCTCCGCATGCTGTCATTGTGGAAAAGAGCGTCACCTTCATATTGCGGTCAAGTTGCTTCAGTAGGGACCCCGAGGAAGCTCTCATCGTAGATCTTAAAGACGTTAACAACTTTGAACACATCATCCATATGCGCATAATAGTCTTTTCTAATGCTTGAACACACTGCAATTACATGTGAGCAAGGGACATGGAAAGTTTGAAATCATCCACACTCACACGTCTGGTTCCTAAGGTCGATGTTAAAATGGGTAGTCAGTCTACCCTCATTATGATTCATAGTTTCTTGGACCAGAAAGCAGAACCTCTGAAGATTAAATAACACTGTGGCTATTTGATTTGATTACCTCTTCCTCAATTCCCTTCATGCTGTTATTAGTATACACTTGTCGAGAGCCTGAAATTTTAGTCCATTCATGTCCTCTTTTCACAAACAGTGTGTCCAACCTAACATATGTTAATTTTACCAAAGTTGTAATAGGTAGCTTACGTGTGGCCTTTAAAACCGAGTCCATTGACTCAGCGAGGTTGGTAGTCATATGACCCCATCATTTCCCTCCAGCAAACGCTCTGGTACATTTTTCTCTAGGAATATTTTCTACCCATTGTAATGCTTGTATGTTAGCTTTACGTATCTCTCCCCTATAGTGTTCGTATGTATACTCATTTAATGCATACCATGTGTATGAAAATAAAAAATAACTTAGTATGTAAAAGTTATTGCTAGATGTCTTAATAAAGATAAGTTTAGGAAAATACCCATGTTAACAACTTTTTTGCGAAGTACCTGGTCTCTGATTTTCTTCATGAAATTTTATGATATGCGCCTGATGCAATAGACGTTTGATGAGAAGGGGTACTCCCAACCATTATGCGGGTTATTATAGGCACTTTTTATTGACTCATGTTGATCTGAGATCAAACATAGGTTGGGTTGGGATGTAACATGCATTCTATGATTTCTCAAGAAAAAGCTCCAAGCATCATCTGTTTCACTCTCTACCAATGCAAAATCTATTGGAAATGTATTCCTATTCTTGTCTTATGAAATAGCTATTAACAAAGTTCCCCTATATTTTCCATATAACCATGTGCCATCAACTTGAACTACAGGTTACCTTTTCATGTTTGATCACATTTCGCCAAACGACGTAATATAAGCGTCGTTGCTTTATTTAAAAAAATTCCTATAACTATTTATGATGCAGTGACATAGATTGTTTATACATTAACAATTTATATGGAGGTCATATCTTGGATGCCCACCATTAGAGAATGATCACAACTTTATTTAGAGTGCAACAACACTTATATTATGCTTATGGATTGTTGAAATGCATCAATCTGATAGGGTTAAATTGTAATTTGGGTACTATTGAGAAATAGCCAACCCTCCAAAATGCCTCCGAGCACACTATACCGTGACTATTCGAGAGTCATGGAAGTACAACTACACAGTTTTAAATACACAAAATAGACACCAATTGTGCTTGACTGGGGTAGCGTTTCAGGGAGAATTGAAGCTAACTCAAGAATATTTGAATTGGGTTCGAGGTCTTCCATTACAATATGCATCAATAGAATAACTACTAATTGACCCACGTCAGCACTATTGTGCATCACAAATGTCGACTCCACCACGACCACATTTCACAAACCCCCAAACGCAAATCACTCCCAGCCAACAGTATACCCCAAACATCCACGTCCAGCCAATATGAACAACAAAATCAATATACTTATCCCTTCCAACAACAAACACAATACACCTCATACCAGCAACCAAACTACCAAACCTAAATACAACATACCTCATACCAACAACCAAACTACCAGACACAAACACAACATACACCAACCAATTACACATATCAAACAGTGCAACAACCAACATACTACACTTATCAAACCCAACAACAATCATGCCTCTGTCCCCCACAAAACTACGCACCAATCCCACCGTCTAACTTTGATTACTCCAATACCAATTAACCATCAATGTGACTCACTATTACATCCCAACCATAGAACCTTCAAACCTAAACCCCACCTCATTCATACAAATATTTAACAACTTTCCTCTAAATATCAATTTTGAGAATTTTGATGCGTTCAGAGTTTTTCCTAACCAACAACTTATTTTTGAAACCTCTACCTATCTGTCTACAACTTAAGCCCCTCCTCCACCTATTTCAACAAAATCATTAGGTCATGGTCACCAAGTTTGGGCATGCACAAGATGTGGAACAGGTAGTCATTTTGTCGATGACGATCCCAATCAACGTAGAAATTAATTTTTTTAATTATGTCATCATCCACTTTTATTCATGAGATTTTTTCAATTGCATTTTAATAATATTTAGTATGTCGTATTATATTAACATGATATTTATTATTTTAAAAACCATTAATTATTAAATATTAAAAATAATTTAAATTAATATTATATTATTAATTAATTTTTTATTATTTTATATATTAAAAACATTTTAAAACAATTTAAAATGATTCAGAAATTGAAAAACAAAAAAAGGGCCTCCGTCGATCCTAACATGGGGACTGACATGTCCGTCATCCCAGATGGAGGAGATGGAAAAATATTTAAAAATTGCAGAAGAAGACAAAAAAAATGTGGTAGGTTGGGCTTTTTTTTTTCAATATGTGGCATTTTGGGCATTTAGTTTCAGACCTGTTGCAACCAGGTCAAAAAGTCCATCTATTCAATCAAGTTGTGATAAATATATTTAATAATACTTTTCTGGTTTTATTTGTAAATAAAATTTTATATTTTTTTTATTTATTGAATAAGTAATGTATCTTTATATTGTTCAAGTATGTTAATTATTTAATGTATTTAAAAAGTAAATTCTTTTTTATAAATAGGATCAAAAGGAGTAATATATAAATTATAATAATATTATATAACAGTTATAAAATACATATTTAAATAATAATATTATATATTCTGTAGTGGAACTAGAGTTAATCAAAAAGTGAGGATGCATAGTTTGATGTTGCGGTTCTGAGTTTTCGATGCGGTGGAGAAAGTACTAAGCTACAAGGTTAACACTATAATGCTCAAGCCAGTGTGAGAGTGAATGAGAAAGTATTTGAATATCTGAGAAATGACACACTCTCATTCTTAAATAGAACAAACGATTGAAAACTGAATGTATGTGACAAGACTTGGGTCGCGGTCAACCGTCAGATTGATTTGAACGGTTGGTAAGATACTTGAGCAAGGGATTTTCTACTCAGTGAGAAAAAAATTCTACTTGTTTTGTGTTCAATGTCTCATTGCT